ATCAACTAAGACTGGAGGCTTATCTGGGTCAGTGGACTAAGATCTGATAAAACAGCCTCAAGTCAGGATATCTGACAGTCAGCTAAGAACCCAGACATCATTTACCCCCACTCCCGTTTCTACGGAAATCAACGTAATCATCCTCCACCTCAGCCCAGTGTTTTCACTCCTATTGGTACCCAGATGGCCCTGTGAACAGCTTTTCAGCCTATATGCTTCCAGGAGGTGACTAATTCTTCACATGCTCACAACCTAGGAAACATTTGAACTGCCTCTCTGTTCCCCATATGTGTAGCCCCAACAACCCCCACTTCAGATGAACAAGTCCTAACTCTAGTTTTGATGTCACAACTAAATACAAATGCAGACCCACAGCTCAATGACCACAAAACAAGGAGGCCTAGCCGAGGTGGTAGAACAAGTCACTGGACTCTTTATTGCTTCTGGGCATGGGGCTCAGGAGCTCTTGGTGGGGCGGGTCCGTTTCCTCTTCACCACCACAGGCTTCTGGCTTCGAAGGATGGCACTGGCCCTGCGGATGGCCGCCTGAGGACAGGATAAGGAACTTAGCCCACAAACTCAAAAGACACTCCCACTTGCTGCTGCCTGTTTCCTAGGACTACAGGGAGGCTGTCCTAAGGCTGGGGAGTCAGAAGAGTCCAGTCTAGCTCCAGTTAGGCAGAGTCAAGTACCCAGGCCTGCATCCAGTCCCAAGGGGAAGTACCAGCTACCCTCCTGCCTTAAGGATCCATCCATCACTCACCATACGAAGATCAGGGCGGTACTTGTTCTTTCGGATCATGTGCCTGATGCTGCTGAGGGTAGCCCGAGCATTCTTGTTGATGGTGGTCCTCACGTAAGAAGTGGCAGGCTTTCGCTGACCTGGTAAGGAAAGCCTAGGAATCAACACACAGCCTTTCCGAAGACCATACTCACCCTTACTCAACTGTATTTCTACCAGCCCATTCAGCACCCCCCCCCCCCCCCCCGGGTGATCATAGGTCAGTCTCATCCAAAGTCTGTAGAAAAACCCATGCCTCTTTAGAAACTCCCAGATACAACAGGGATATAGCAGCACACACCTTTGATCCAGCACTCAGAAAGCAGAGGCAGGCGGCTCTCTGAGTTCGAGACCTAGCCCGGTCTACATAGAGTTCCAGGACATTGAGGTCTATATGGAGAAACTGTATTTTAAGTTTCTCCACTTCTGACTTTAAAAATCACCTTACACAGACGGCAAGTCAGAAGAAGGGCAGGAACTCTGGAAAAAAGGAGAGCTATTGTGTGCAAAGGCTCACCGGATCTGCGTTTCATAACTACCACGACCCCTTTGCCATCAGCTGCGGGCTCCACTCCGACCGTCTTGCGGTGAATTAGCCCGTTGTAACGGAAGGAGTTTCGGGCCTTCAGATTATTGGGCTCCTGGGGAATAAGTGTAGAAGATGGCAAGTTACGGCCTGGATACTCGAAAGAGCCAGAGTGCCCCCCCCCACACGGGCCTCACTTACCGTACTGTACGTCTGCTTATTCCTCTTGATCAAGAAACTGGAGCAGTTCCGAACGACCATCCATTGCAGATGCGCGGACATGGCGGCGGCTGGGGAGAAAGCCGGCAACGCCCAAGATGTCAAATAGAGAAGCAAGCCGTGGAGAGGCGTCTAGGTAAACGTTAGCACCGTTGGGAGAAAATGAGCAAGAGCTCTGCAAAGCCGGGATGAGGGACCAAAGGAGGCAGGCCGAACTAAGACGGCAGAGACTGAGAAAGGACGGGGAAGGGACGCTGAGCCCCACTTCCGGCGGGGAATGAGGGCTACGAACGGCGCTTGGGTACAATGGGAGAAAACACAGGCTGGAGACCGAGGCGGTGGGCGCGAGATGGCGGCCACGCGGGACCGACAGAGGACTCACACTTACCTCCTCTCTCTACGGCGGCCGGAGACGGAAAGAGAGTCACGAGAGGCGGGGCGACACCTTTAAAATGGCAACGCATTTCCGCTTCCTTCCGTGGCGCTGTTTGAAGTCCGCCACCCAACTTCCTCCGATCCTTGGGTTCCGCCTCCGAGTCTTTTTGACTCGGGAACTTTCGGAAATCTTCGTCTGTAGATCCCGGCGAGTTCTCGTCGTGGTGGCACAATGAAGCGGTTAGGAAGTTTTCGGAACTCCGTGACTGTGTTTTCCTTTCCAAAAGCAGAGATTCCGAGAACTGATTCTCTGCCGCATCACCTTGATCTGTTCAATTAGCACTTGACAAATGGAGGGCACTAAAAAATATTTTGAAAAAAGGGTTTGCGCCCTTGTCTAGAGGATTTTGAACTCGGGTTCTCCCGCCTCAGCCTCGTGGATGCAAATATTGAGGATTCCAGAAATGTCTCATTACGTGGGACTTAATTGATTTTAAGATTTATTTATTTTTAAAGACTTATGCCGGGCAGTGGTGGCGCACGCATTTAATCCCAGCACTTGGGAGGCAGAGGCAGGTAGATTTCTGAGTTCGAGGCCAGCCTGGTCTTCAGAGTAAGTTCCAGGACAGCCAGGGCTACACAGAGAAACCCTGTCTCGAAAAACCAAAAAAAAAAAAAAAAAAAAGGAAGAGACTGATTTATGTTATGTTTACTTATTTACTATACATTGGCGTTTTGCCTGCATGTATGTATGTCTGAGGATGTTGTATACCCTGGAATTAAAGTTACAGTTCTGAACTGCCTGGTGGGTACTGAGAGTTGAACCAGTGTTGGCTGGAGATGCTGCTAGTGCTGTTAACTGCTGATCCATCTCTCCAGTCCCAACTTAATTATTTTGTAATATGTATGAGGGCTTGCTTTTTTAGTTTCTTTCTATCTGTCAGTCTGTCTGTCTTCCTTCCCTTCTTTCTTTCCTCCTTTCTTTCTAAGCCTGGATATATGTATGGATGCTATGTGTTTGCCTGGTGCCTAGATTCAGTTAAGATAGTTGTGAACCATCATGTGGGTGCTGGGAATAGAACCTGAGTCCCTGGAAGAGCATCCAATACTCTTAACCACTGAGTCATCTTTGCAACCCCAGATTTATTTATTTTTAATTATGATGTATAGAGGTGTTTTGTTAATATGTGAAATGCAAGTCCAAAAGAAACCATTGATCCCGAGGAACTAGAGTTACAGGCATTTGTGAGCTGCCTCGTGGAGCTGGTAACCAAACCTAGGTCCTCTGTGAGAGTGGTAAGTGCCCTCAACCTCTGAGCCATCACTCCTTCCTCGAGACTGGTTCTTTAAATGGATGCATGAACTATTTTGAAGCTTTGCTCTGGCGTGGAGTCTTCAGATGGCTCTATTACTCTTCTTGACTGTCCACACACAAACACCAGTGCCCAGTGGACCATCTAAAAATGTACTCCTGCAATGTTAAATAATTTTATTCTCTCATGCCTGGTTCTGTCTATGCAGAAACACTCCATGTCTGTCCTCAGCAATACCTGGCCAATCCTGGCAGTCCTCTGGCAATTTACACCACAATCTTTTTTTTTTTTTTTTTTTTTAATGTTATGAGTACACTGTAGCTGTCTTCAGACACACCAGAAGAGGGCATCAGATACCTTTACAGATGGTTATGAGCCACCATGTGGTTGCTGGGAATTGAACTCAGGACCTCTGGAAGAGCAGTCAGTGCTCTTAACCACTAAACCATCTCTCTAGCCCACCACAGTCATTTTTAATGTTTTATTAGCATTTAATCATGCATAAGGTGGATTTATATGACAATTTCATATGTGTATATATTTGGCCATATTCACATATACTTCGTTTTCCCACTGCAGCTAATCTGTGTGTGTGTGTGTGCGCGTGTGTGTCCCAGTGAATTTCCTTTATGTTATTTACAAGCTCATGGATGGTTTGTTTACAGAGGTACCAACGGTTACATCAATGTAGAAAATGTTATTTTCTCCTCCATCATTCTGAGTTTTCTCCAACTCTGATACTATAGAGTCTTGGGAGAACCTTGACAGAACTGTCTCAAAGTTTCCCACCCCAGGGGAGAATGAACTCAACTAAGGGTAGATGTGTGGAAGATCAGGACTTTCCTGTAACAGCTGTTGGTTCCCCATAATGTTCCCCATGGCTTGGGCCAACGATTTGCTTGTGCCATGCTGCCTCCCAGCTCCAGAGTGCCCTGCCGATATCCATTAAATTCTAAGTTAAAGCCATCTTCAGGTATCAGCTTCCAGAGCAGGAAAAAAAATTGTTTTTCCTAGAAGCATTTATCCTCTACAAAAAGGCCACAGTTTTGGTTTGTTTTGCCATGAAACAAGGTTTCTCTGTGTTGCCCTGGCTGTCCTGGAACTTCTTCTGTAGACTAAGTTGGCCTAAACTCAGAGATCTGCCTCTCCAAGTGCTGGGACTAAAGGCAGGGCCCGCCACTGTCAGGCTAAAGCTACAAATTCTATGCCACCTCCTCAGGGATCCCTTTCCTGGGCACTTCGGGAATTGTGCCTAGGAACTTGAGAGCAGGTCTTGTCAGACTAACATCTGAGTACTAACAGGGATTCTGTGCTCCAGAGAATCTTTGTGTGTGTGTGTGTGTGTGTGTGTGTGTGTGTGTGTGTGTGTGTGTGTGTGTGTGTGTGTGTGTGCTGTGTGCAGGGCATGCAATCAAGAGCTTCGAGCATGGTAGGCAAGCACTCTATCAAGCGAGCTACATCCCCAGCGTGCTCGTTTTTTGTGTTTCGGATCCTCATTTCGGTTCAATGGGCCTGGTGGCACAGGTGGCCCTCGGGAGGCAGGCTCTAAATAGAAACACTATCTAGCTACATTATGCCACCCTGAAGTTTGCCCCTAGTCACCTGGCGCTGCTCAATGGGTCGTGCGCCTCTGATCCTCCCAGACCTCTGAGCCACAGAGAGACTCACCAGGTCCAGGCAGTGAGCTCAGGTGACCGTGCAGGCACTGGCACACCTGGCGCCGAGCCCTAACTCCGCCCCGGGCAGCCGCACCCCGGGACGCTGTCGGGGAACAGGAGGCGGCGGGCCACCGAGGGCCATGGCGGCAGCGTCACCGGTGTGCGGCTCGCAGGCGTCCGCGGCCGGCGCCTCGTCGCCACCCGCGCCCGCACCGGCTCCAGCGGCCGGCCTGGGCCGCTGCCGCATGGCGCTGCTGCTGGCCGTGGCCCTGGACGTGGCGGGCATGGCGGCGCTGCTGACCGGAGTGTTCGCGCAGCTGCAGGTGCGCGGCCGTGACTTCGGGGACCTGCTCATCTACTCCGGGGCGCTGCTGGTCTTCTTGAGCCTGCTGGGCTGGATTCTCTGGTACACCGGCAACATCGAGATCTCGCGCCAGGAGCTGGAGCGCGACTACGGCCTGCGGCCCTCGGCGATTGCCCGCCTGGCGCGCAAGCTGTCCCGCCGCTGGTCGGCGCCCGCCACCGCCAGTCCCCGGACCACAGCCGGTCTCCGCGCAGCGCGCAGGGCGGCCCGCGCGCCCCAGCCATCCGCCTCCGGCTCCCGCCGCGTGCGTCTGCAGCTCGCCACGCTTGAGGCGGGGCCCGGGGCGGCGGGCACGGGCAGCGAGTGAGCCCCAGGTGAGGACACGTAGAAAAAGTGAGAGATGGTGGGGAGTCAGACACGTCGCTGAAAGGGGAAACTGCAGGGGAGTGAGTCAGAGATAGCAGAGACAGCGCCAGGATGGTGGAACAAGGTTAGGAGTCACAGCACACCCTCCTTCTTTTGCTCCACGTGCACCAGGCCTCATGCCATCCTCTCTGTAACCAATTCTCTGAGCTCATTACTGTCACTGTACAAGAAGCTCCGAAAGTAGGTGACACTCTTGCCCGGACCACACAAATGTGGAAATGGAAGAGTGTTATTCGTCCAGACAGATAGTCCTAAAGTGAAGTCACAGGCGAAGAACCAGTGGACACAGAGAGAGAGGGAAAGCACCCTTGTCCGTCCCTTTCCCTTTCTCTGATGTTTGAGACAAGGTCTCACTATGTAGCCCTGGCTGTCTTGGAACTGGATATGTAGACCAGGCTGCCCTTGAACTGAGATCAACTTGCCCCTGCCTTCAAAGTACTAGGATTAAAGGCATGTGCCACCACTCCTGGCCTTGTGTGTGTGTGTGTGTGTGTGTGTGTGTGTGTGTGTGTGTCTGAATGCTACAGGTCCTGTCTGGTGCTGGCAGAAACTAGACGAGAAAGGGTGTCAAATTCCCTGTAGCTAGACTTATAGGCAGTTTTGGACCTCTGATGTGGGTGTTGGGAACTGGACTTGGCCCCTCTACAAGAGCAGAGAAAGCACGCTTAACCATGCAGTCATCTAACCCCCAAATTTTATTTTTTTAAATTACACTTACTATTTGTGTGTGTGCGTGTGTGTGTGTGTGTGTGTGTGTGTGTGCATTTGTGGCACAATGATTTTGTGGCATCTATTCTCTTTCCAGCATGTAGGCCCTGGAGATCAAACGCAGGTCATCAGGCTTGGTGGCAAGCACCTTTACCCAATGAGCCATCTTCCTTGAGGCCCCAGTATTTCCTTTCTTTTCTTTCTTTCTTTTTTGTTTTGTTTTGTTTGCTTTGTTTTTGTTTTTGTTTTTCGAGACAGGGTTTCAGGCTGGAGAGATGGCTCAGTGGTTAAGAGCACTGACTGCTCTTCCAGAGGTCCTGAGTTCAATTCCCAGCACCCATATGGTGGCTCACAACCATCTGTAAAGGGATCTGCTGCCCTCTTCTGGTGTGTCTGAAGACAGCTACAGTGTATTCATATACATTAAATAAATAGTTTTAAGAGAGAGAGAGAGAGAGAGAGAGAGAGAGAGATTCTCTGTGTAGCCCTAGCTGTCCTGGAACTCACTCTGTAGACCATCCTGGCCTCGAACTCAGAAATCTGCCTGCCTCTGCCTCCCAAGTGCTGAGATTAAAGGCGTGTGCCACTACTGCCCAGCCAATATTTCCTTTCTTAAACACACTTCAGCTTTCCTGCTTCTACTCAAGACCTGCTAGGGCTCTCTTTTGCCATCTCATCACACCAAGGTCATTGGCCAATGCGTAAATCCTCCGTTTTTGTTTTGTTTTGTTTTGTTTGTTTGTTTGTTTGTTTGGTTTTTCAAGACAGAGTTTCTCTGTATAGTCCTGGCTGTTCTGGAACTCACTCTGTAGACCAGGCTGGCCTCAAACTCAGAAATCCGCCTGCATCTGCCTCCCAAGTGCTGGGATTAAAGGCGTGCACCACCACTGCCTGGCAAATCCTCCGTTTTTAAGTTCTGCTTTCCCCTACATTTTATTTGCGTTTAAATCTCTCAGACCACAGAAGGACAGACAGATGTCCTTCGTAACGAGGAGGGCCATTGCTGTCTGCAGTCCAACCAGAAAACTTCTAGAATGTTCTTTAGGCACCAGCACATTCCTCTGATCTCCTCTGAGTATTCATATTGTCTGAGCCCAATCCTATTGCTGTTTGAATAGCCATATGGTATGTCTCTGTAGGATCTGGTTCTCACACCTGACAGAGAGCCCCATGTAGGTAAAGCTGACAGATGGGCAGGTCAATGGTTTGTAGAAGAGTCTGTTGATGAGTTGGGTGTGCGGGAGCAGGTAGAATTAATAAATTGATGAATGTGTGAAAGGGTTCGATAGGAACCATGAGTTTACGCTTTGCTTCTGAGACAGTCTTGTTGCGTGTCCCCAGGTTCACCTTGAACATAGTCCTCCTGGTTCAGCGTCAGATTAGTTGTTTACTAGATGTGATGGATGACCGGGTGGGTGAATACAGGGGGTTAGACGAAGAGAAGCATAAATGGACAGATGGATAGTTTGGCCAGGGAGAGATGCAAATAAATAGATGGTTTTTGGATGGATGGGAATGACCGAATCCATTTTCTAGGTGGGATTTCTGTAAAAGAATTAAACCTTAAAACCATGGTGTCTCCGGGCAGTGGTGGTGCACACCTTTAATCCCAGCACTTGGGAGGCAGAGGCAGGTGGATTTCTGAGTTCCAGGCCAGCCTGGTCTACAGAGTGAGTTCCAGGACAGCCAGGGCTACACAGAGAAACCCTGTCTCGAAAAACCACCATCCCCCCCCAAAAAAAAAAAACAACCATGGTGTGTGTGTGTGTTTGTGTGTTGTATTTGTGTGTCTGTGCACACATTTGTATAGAGGCCAAAGGATCAAGTTTTGTGTCATTCCTCAGGAACCAGCAATCTTGTTTTTTTGAGGCAGGATCTCCAGGATCTCTCTGGAGCTCAGTGATTAGGCAAGACAGGCTTGCCAATCAGCCCCAGGGATTTAAGAGTCTCCACCTCCCCAGCACTGGGCTTACGAGCATCATGGAGCCTGGCACCTTTTATATAGCGCGTGCTAGTGAATGCACCATGGTGTATCTGTGAGGGTCAGAGGACATCTTTTGTTGTCAGATTTTCTCCTTCCACCATAGAATTTAGGTGGTCAGGATTACATGGCAAGTGTGTTTACCCAGTGAGATATCTCACCAGCCTAAAACATTTTACTTTCTCCTGGGATCCAAAGAAATACTAATTCTGTTCTGTGCTTCATGAGAACTAAGAATCTGAGTCTATGTTCTGTGGTTCAAACAAAGAAACAGCTAGGGCTGTGGCTGTGGCTTAGTTGTAGAGAGAACTTGCCTAGCATGCATGTATCAAGTTCTGGGCTCAAGTCCCAGCAACACATAACAGAAAACATGGTTGATAACCCCTATAATCCCAGCAATCAGGCAGATGACAGCAAATTCAAGACCAGCCCAATGTACATAGTGTGTTCTAGGCCAGCCAAGGCTGTAATAATGAGACTCTGTTTCAAAACAGCAAAGCAGGGTCTGGAGAGGTGGCTCAGCAGTAAGAGGACTGGCTGCTCTTCCAGAGGACCTAAATTCCATTCCTAGCCCTACATGTCAGCTCACAAGTGTCTAATTCCAATTCCAGAAGATCTGATGCCCCCCTTCTGGCCTCCATAGGCACCAGGCACAAAACAGTCCTATGCATAAAATAAAATATAAATCTGAAAAAAAAAATCACACACACACAAAATATTTAAAGGCTGAATAATCATGTGTATGCAAAGCATGGACAAATGTTGGATTACAGCCCTAGACATATGCCAAAATATCCATCTGTGGTTAACTTGATTCCTGAAGATGCTTGACATTTATGCAGAAGCGTACATTTGAGTGAGCCTCAAAGAACTTGTATTTTGACATAAGGGCATGCTCTAGAAATGCCAACTTCCCCTGTGACCAAAATTCAGGCATGGGACAAATCTTCTTTTCCTTCTCCTGCCTTTCCTTAACATGGTCTCGTTATATCACAGGCTGGCCTGGCACTTCCTATATAGACTAGACTGGACTTGAATATGTGCCACACCCCTGCCTTTGAATACTGGGGTTACAGATGTGAGCCACTCCATCTGTCTCCATTCCTTTTGGTTTTCTTTTCTTTTCTTTTTTTCTTTAAATTTTGTTTTTAAACAAAAATTTTAAACATCTATTTATTTGAGTATCTGTGCATCTGGGTGTGCTCTGAAGTGTGTGTGTATAGAAATCCAAAGGTAGCTGGGCAGTGGTGGTGCACACCTTTAATCCCAGCACTTGGGAGGCAGAGGCAGGCAGATTTCTGAGTTTGAGGCCAGCCTGGTCCACAGAGTGAGTTCCAGGACAGCCAGGGCTACACAGAGAAACCCTGTCTCAAATTCCCCCCCCCCCCAAAAAAAAGAAATCCAAGGGTAACCAGCGGGAGTGGATTCTTCCTTTCAACCATAAGGATCCTTTTGGTTTGATTTTTTGAGACAGGATTTCATACCCTGTAGACCAGGCTGGCTTCAAACTTTGCATCCCAGACTAGCTTTGACGATCCTTTTTGCCGGCCTTCCAGGTGTTGGGATGCCCCAGCTGTTTCTTTGTCTATTTTTTCTCAGTTTATCTCCCTGTCTTTGTGACTCCCCAGGTCTGTCTCCGCGCCTCTCTCTCTCTTTGCTTTCTCCTGCCATAAACTCATATCAGTGGATTCTGCTGAGTTAGAAGCACATTTGCGGACACATCCCCAGGGGGTCTACAGCAAGCAGACGGAAGGGGTCGGGGTAAGCTTGAGTGTCCATCAGTGAGTAAGGGTCTCCCTGACCTGTCATGGGTTAGGGGACCTCAGAATGAAAGGACAGAAGAGGAGCAAACCTAACTAGCCACTAACCTCACCTTGCCTTCCCACAGACAACCTCATCCTCAGGACCTGATTGAGACATGCAGCTGCCCTGTACATCACTCAGCCACCATGCTACCCATCTGTCACCTCACTTGGATAAATGTTTCCGTTTTGGAGCACGGCTTGCCTGTCTGGTTAAGGGCCTGAACTGGCAAAGGGGAGTGATATGCCAGGCCAAGACCTTTGATCAGTACCTTTGATCTTGGGGTCCCTGGGGATACAGGATCCCAATTTCTTACTAGCCATTCAATAGTGGCACCTAAGAGGTGAGAAGAAGGCTCTTAAGTGCATGCAGACCCACCCATCCAGCCCAGGCTTCCCTAGGGTAGTTTAGGTCTTCCAAGAACAGACACAGGGGCACATTAAACTTGCAAGACATTTACTGCGGAGTTGGTCCTTATAGAGAAGATGGCATTGATGCAGGATACCTGCAAGACTAGGAGGAGAGAAAGCTAATTGGGCAGACTGAATCTGCGTGCAGACAGCACACTTCCAAGAAAAGGCTTGGCAGTGGAGACTCTGGGCGCTCAAGTCCTTGCTGGAGGATGCCCATATATTTCTGGAGCCACTCAGGCATTGTGCTGAGGGGCAAGAGAAGTTTGAGAGCTGGAGATTAGTTGGTCCATAGCACTTCCTAAAGCAGCATGTCTTAGAACACTTTCCCATGGCTATGTGTGTCCCTAGTACCCCAAATCCTCCTATTGGAAGCTCACTTCATTGTAGCCCCCCAGGCAAGCTCCCACCCCCAGAACTGCCTCCAGTTCCTTCCACGATTCAGATCCACACTAAGCTCACAATCCCTAACCGTACCCAGTGCCCACATTTAGTCCCCACCCCTTAATCTCCCTCAAGGTATACGTGCACACTGTGCAACACTCCCATAAGGCCATCTGCTCCCCACAGATCTCAAAAAGACACACATTTATATGCCATATCTGTATTAAGGGGTCCTCCAGGGTTGCCCTATTCTTCACCTCCCTCTGTTTCCTCCCCGGAAACGGCAACTTCTACTTCAGTGCCTCCTGGGGAGTGTGGCACCGTGTACACTTGGACAGGCGTGCCAATCGTGGTTGACCTGCTGCCTGCTCCTCGGACCTTAGACAGTAGGGAGACTGTTCCTGACAGTCTATTACATTTCCCTTGTAGAAAGCCTGGTAGGTGCAGCATGTCTCGGCGCCTGGCCCACCTAGTAGGAGAGCATATGTTCAGCCTGAAGCACCCACACCTTCTGTGGAGAACCATGGCTGCTGGCCTCCCCAGCCACACTCACCAGAAGAGACAGATACTGGTGATCAGGAAGAGTAGGCTGCCACAGGTCCAGCCCAGTGCCCACATATGCTTCCTCCGCATATTTTCTAGAAAAGGGGAGGAAGAAGGTCCAGGGATCCACCCTCTGAACCCTCACCCTCTGAAGCATCCAGTCTGCGGTCAGGTCACTCACCATCTGGCCGTTGATGATAGCACACACCATCCCGGTAGCAGCATCGAAGGCGTAGGCAGAGGTTGGGGTTCTCGATTGCTGCCTGACCCCCACAAGTCTCTCGGTCCCACACATCTCCCTCACAACCTAAGGGCCACCACAGTAGGTGCTAAGTAAAAGAACTGTCTCTTGAGGCTACAGGCACAAGAGCACCAAGGCCAGGCTGCGGGGCTGTGGTACTGTGTATTTGGCAGTATTCTTTAGAGGACCCAAGAGTCCAGACCCAGCCCTCCTCCCTCAGACCTAGAGATTCAGCTTCCATTCCTCCTCCCTCAAACCTGGACATCCCAACCCCAGCCCTCTTCCTTCAGAGAGTCTATTCCACAACCCTTCTTCAAATTCATGAGTCAAGGTTGCAGGCAGCTCTCCAGACCCAGACCCAGGGTTATAGGCCTCACCGCTCATTAAAAGCTCAAGCTCTCCTTTTAAATAAAAGTTTTCAAGCTCTTCATCTCCCTCAGACCCAGAGGTTGAGTCCCCTGACCTACTACGTCAGATCCATACCTGGGGTGAGTCCCCTGACTTCTTTATTCAGATCTGAGGAGCCTAGGCCTTAGTCCTTCCTCCAGACCCAGGGACCAAGCTCCGGCTCTCCTCCCTCAGACCGAGTCCAGGCTTCAGCCCTCCTTTGAGTCCCAAGGTTGCGTTCCTAGCCCTCCTTCCTCAGACCCAAGGGTCAATTTCACAGCCTCTCTCTCACACATCCTACAGTCTTAATTTGGGAATCCCCTCCCTGGGACCCCAGGATTTCCGCTCTTGCTTACTCCATGGGTAGAAAAATCCCTGGATTCCATTCGAATCTGTGGGAGAAAGGGGGTGATGTTGGGAGATTGTGTGACAGCCAATGTGGTGACCCTGTCCACAGTCCCCTGATGGCCCTGCCCATAGCTCCCTGACGTCCTCATCAGTACCCTCACCTACTGAGCCCTGCATCAGCAGGAGAAGGCCCAAAGCTGAGATCCCATACCCCACCATGTTACCTCCCCAGACCTCTGGGGCCTCTATGGAAAGAAACCTTGAAGGACATTAACCCTAGCAACAGCTGGGCCCCGCCCCAAAAGCTTCAGCCCTAGAATTCTTAGTTCTGTTGCTAGGGAATCCCCTCAGCAAGGGGTTCACAAGGAGGGGTGCCCAGGTCCCCATCGTTTCTGTCTAGGAATTCGCTCCTCACTTAGGAGAACGGGTGGGTGGGCATTGGGAGATTTCCGACTTAGTGCCTTCTCAGCAAGGGAAGAGGAAAAGAGAAACCAGGACAAAGCACGGGGCTGGAGATGTCTCTCTGTTTTCACCTGGGACCTGACAGGGTATGGATCTGGGGCTGGGGAAATCTCTGAGTTGCAGAATCCATTTCTTTTCTAACCCAATGTCCAAAGAATCAGCCTCAAGAGACCCAGGTTCAGAGATCCTCATTGCTAGGGTAGTTTTCCTTTTAGCAACCAGGAAAAAAAAAAAAAAAAAAAAAAAAGGACCCTAGACACTGGGGTCTGACTGAGTCCCATTATTGGAGAAGGTTTCCTCAGCAACCAGATCAGGAGGAGGAAGGGACAGTGGAGGCTGCTGGGGTGGCCCTGGGTTTCCATCACAGCCTTCATCAGGCCTCTGCTTTAGGGAACACAGACCAGGGCAGGACTGACTGACTGCCTGTCCCTGTGGAGACCGAGGTGTGGTTGCTGTTAGAGGCTGTGATGGTAACTCCTGACAAAAGTTTCAGGTCCCCAAAGAGACTCAGTTTCCCGTTTATTAACGAGGGAACACAAGCTAGAACAACTCGGGTTGTTTTGTGTTTGTTTTACCCAAGATTGCCTTCCTAGCTTCCGGGAAGCCAGATTGGAGAGCGTGTCACTATGGTTCCTCCTTCACCTAAGCTCAATATCCAGTTGACATAGTGAGGATTCCCTTGGTTCCTGAGGGAGATCTGGAATTGGCCCTGGACTCATGGGTGGCTGGGACATCCCATGAATCCTGGATCTGAGGGAAGGGGGTGATGGGCTGGAGATGGGATCCTTGGGTCTGGGGGAGTGAAGATGTCTGGAGAAGAGAATCCTTGAGACTGAGAACTGTGACCCTAGGGGCCGAGGGAGGCAGGTTTTGGGAACCCTGGGTCAAAAAGAAGCAAGGCTGGAGTCTGGATCCCTGAGTCTGAGCAAGAAGAGCTCGGTTCTGGACTCCTGAAGCTTTTAGGGGAAGAAGCTAGATCCAAGACTGGGCTCTGAAGGAAGGCTCCCTAGGTCTGAGGAAGGGGTGTCGGGGTCTCGACCCTTGCTTCGGAGGAAGCCTAGGGGCTGGATTTCAGATCTGAAGGGGGAAAAGGTCTAGGGCCTGGACTGTCCCTTCTGTGGGAGGGAAGGGTCTGAGTTCAGACCCTTGTTTCCCAAGAAGCTTACGAGGGTGACTCTCTTTCATCCCTGGGTCCTACAGTAAACATCCTAGAGGGTGCTGAGTGGGCCCTGGGCTGACTCCGTCAGAGATGACACAGGTCCGAGGGGGCTCTGCAGGGGGTCTGGGGGTGGGGGTCAGAGGGGTTGCGGGGCTGAGGCCGGGCAGCTGCTGACCATTTCCTGTGTCAACACCATCTGGACCCACTTCCCAATTCCCTGGATTCCTCAGGGATCAAGGAGGGGGTGGGGGTGGAGCAGCCTGGCCCTGGACCGCGGATTGGGATTGGGGAGGGGGGGCGCCGTCAAGGCCCTCACCGCTAATGACAGGTTTGGGCTGCCTCTGTGGCTGACCTGCCTCGTCACCCCCCAGAGGCCAGACAGGACCCCCCAGGGACAGACAGACGGACACACACAGCCTGGGATGTGCTGACATCACACCCAGCCAGCACCAGCTCACCCAGGGGCCAGCACACCATCAAGGAAGGCCCCCCTGGCTAGATCCCCACATCCTAGGGACACCTAGTGCAATGCCTCTGAGGCCTTCTACTCGCTGCCTCTTTGTTTTTGAATCCTCAAGCTGATCTCCCCAGCACTCTTTTGCTTCTGTCTTCTCATCATCGGGCTGTGAGATCCTGTTTGTATTTGTTTATCTCTGCTGTCTTCCGTTATTTTGGGGGATTCCCAAAGTCTCCCACTTCATCTGTCTCTTTGTCTCATTTCCATAGAACTGGTATTCCAACCCTCACCCAGGGAAGACCAAGGCAGGAGTCCCAAGTCCACTCTCCAGTCCTTCTGTGGTCACTCTGGGGAAGATGAGTCTTTCCCCACAATCCCCAGGGTGGAAAGTGAACCAGCACCGAGACCAGCAAGGAGCCCATGACCCAGACTCACAAACTTCCTCAAACACAAAGCTCCCCAAAATTGTAGTACATCAAATTTTTCTTCCACTTATATAAAAATGAGGGTTTAGTACCCTGAGTCTGAGGGAGGAAGGCTGGCTGGGGTCTGTTCCCTGGGTCTGATGGAGGAAGGCTGGCTGGCTGGGGTCTGTTCCCTGGGTCTGAGGGAGGAAGGCTGGGGTCTAGAATCCTGGTTCTGAAAGAAGAGAGCAAGGGTCTGTACTCTGGGTACAATGGAAAAGGGTTGGGTACCTGAGAGCCTGGGTCTGAAGGAGGAGGGCTGGGATCTAGAGTCTTGGGTCGGAGAGAGGAGGGCTAGGGTCTGTACTCTGGGTTTGAGTTTAATCCTCTCAGAAGGGTTAAATACCTGAGACCCAGGGCCTAAGGGAAGAGGGCTGGGGGCTGTACCCTGGGTTTAAGGAATATGGGGAGATAGGAAGGTGGGGAGATGGTATGAGTTCTTGAATCTCAGTTGGAGGAAGGGGCTGGCATTTGCAGTCCCTGGTATTGACCAGGTCTGGCTACAAGCCCAGTCCCCTATCCCCTCGGGCCAGTCCATTCCCCAAGCTGGTGGCCTGAGTCACCTTGGCTAGCCCCCATGGTCGGGGGGGGGGGGGCGACGTCAGCCCCCCCCCCACGGACGCCGCCCTGCCCCCCCCCCACGCTGACTCAGCCGGAAACAGGCCCCCTGAGGGGCGGAGACCCAGTGGTCAGAAGCCTGGGTCCCAGCAGGAGCAGGAGCTGAGGAGGGCCCCTGGGGGGCCTCTCAGAGGGGTGGTGTGACAGACAGAGAAAGGGAGAGAAAGAGCTCTTACCTGAGTCGATGAGGTCATGTCCCACCATGGGGGGCTGTGACCTCACCCCCTGGGGGATCTGAGCAGTTCTTCTCCCCTTCCCTAGTGGTGAAAGATGGGGAGGGGAAGCCTCTGGCTGCCAGTCAGTCCAGAGCCAGTCCCCACCTTACTCCTCCATCTCCAGCCAATGCAATGGGCCCAAAAGACGGGCATGGGTGGTCTACAAAGAGATTTTTTGCAGTTCATGTAACTGTCCTGTGTTCAGAGCTACCCCATTTCCCTCTTGAGGAGGAGGCTTCTGGGGATGTCTGTTAGTTGATTTTAATGTCCCCATCCCGTAAGGAGCTGTGAATCCTGAACCAATGGTAGTCATCCGTTGAACATGGCATTATGGGTATTGGTGCAGTCCCTGAACCGGTGGGTTTGGCTTTTACCTGGATAGACTATTATATCGTCTTCTCTGAATGTGGCTTTGTCTACGTTTCTGGTACCCACCCACTCACTTTTGCCGTGTCTCCCAGTGACTACCTGTGCCTCAGTATAGCTGACAAACTGTAGCCATGAGACCAGAAACAGCTGTCTAGTACAGTAGCCTGCACACTACTCCTCACCGTGACGCTTAGGGATAGGAAGGAATGTGTGTATGGGAGAGTATGTATATGTGGATGGGTATCTGTACCTACGTGCAAGTGTACAGAGGCCAGAGGGGGACACTGGGGGTTCTGTCCCTCTCAGCCTTATGCCCTTGAGAAAGGCTCTCTCACTGAACCTGGAGCTAGGCTGGAAGACAAACCCTAGTGACCGAGCCGTCTCCACCTCTCCACTGTCTCCACACGTGTTCATCTTTTTACATAGGTCCTGTGGATTCAACTCAGGTCCTCGTGTTCATGCAGCAAGCACTCTTACCCCCCGGGACTCTCCTTAGCCATAGGAGATACCCTTATTAGCCCCATTTACAGAACTGGAGAGCTGGGGGGAAGGGCAGCAGTGTACCCAGAGACTTCTATAGAGAGCCTTTATTCTTTCTTTTGGTCCTCACCTTCTGCTGCCTGCATCTTCTTTCCATGTCTGTCCTCCCTTTCCCCTTGGAGGTCTCTGCTTCTTTTTTTGAAATAGGGTTTCAAGTAGCCCAGGTTAGCCTCAGTCTTACTGTGTAGCTAGGGATGACCTTGAGCTTCTGAATCCCCGCCTTCGCCTCCCCAGTGCTGAGAGTGCAGGTGTGTACCATTACTCTGCTAACCGAGCCACACCCCCAGCTCCTCAGTTTCCCTGTCTCTCCATCTCAGAGACTAGGTATCTATAGAGCCTACTGTCCCCATCTCTGAGCATCTGTCAGCCATCCTGGTTTTAGAGGCTCCATCTCTGCCCCACTGTTCTCATCCCTCTCTTGTCATTCAGCTTCTCCCCTTCACCTCCACCTCCTCAGGCCCTGGACCTGCCTCTCCTCCTGCCTCCCCATCTCTCGGTACTAGTCCTGGTCCATGCAGACCACCACCCACAGCCAGGCTCCGTAGTGCTCTTGAGCCTTGTATGTCTATCCCAGCCCGTGGAGGTGGAGGGAGGGGACGCCAATGACCTCACCGGCCCCTCTCAGACCACCCCCCCTTCACTTTTCAACTTTTCCAACTTTTCCTTCCGTGCCCTCCTCCTTGAGCAAGGCGGTGTGAGCCCTGCTAGGCAGCCGGCTGGTCTGAATGGAAAAGGCAGGAGGGAGGGTGAGTCAGGATGTGTCAGGCCGCCCTCCCCTGCTGCCTGCCCCCCGCCCGCCCGCCCCGGCCCCCTATATAACCCCCCAGGCGTACACACTCCCTCACTGCCTGGCCCTTGCTGCTCATACTCACAAACCTCCCCTCCCCAGGCCGAGGCCCAGCTGACCCCCTGGGCTCCCCCGGCAGCGGACAGGGAAGGGTTAAAGACCCCCCCTCCCGGCTCCCTGCCCCCTGCCCTGGGGAACCTCTGGCCTGTGGGGACATGAACTGTAAGTTGGTTCCAGTTCATGGGGTGAGGGGACAGGGTTGGGGGAGGAAGGAGGAAAGGATTGAGGGGGTGGGGAGGATGGGAAGCAGAGTAGGGACAGAGGGGTAAAAGAGAGGCATCATGGGGAGTCAGACTGAGAAAGAATAGTGAGAAAAGTGGGAGTTTGACAGAAGAGATGGAGAGAGAGAGAGAGAGAGAGAGAGAGAGAGAGAGAGAGAGAGAGAGA